CACCGCACGGTCTGCTCCCTGCCTAACTGGCCTCATTCCTCCCACTCCCCTTCCCCCACTCTGCTCTAGCTTCCCTGGGCTCCTCTTTCTTCCGCCAACATGCCAGGTGCACTGCTGCCTCAGGGCCTTTGCACCTGCTCTTCTCTCTGCCTGGACCCCTCTTCTCCCAGAGACCCATATGGCCCACTCCCTCACCTCCTCCTCCTTCAGATCTCTGCTCAAATGCCACCTCCTCAGTGAGGCCTCCCCTGTCCACTATATTTAAACCCAAAGCCCTATTCTCACCCTCTTGTGTTCTGACCCCTCATCCCCCTTTCCGGATATATTTTCTCTACAGTCTTTATCATCTAACACACTATATATATATATATTTTTTTTTAACTTCTTTTGCATGTTGATTGTCTATTTCCCTAGTATGTGGATTATGAGGTCAGGAATTTGTGTCTCTTTTGTTCACTGCTGTATCTCCAGTGCCTAAAACAGTGCCCAACACATAGCACATGCTTGATAAATATTATTATCAAATGGATGAGTAAGGATTTGTCTTCAAGGCTCATGCTTGTAACCACCATACATTGTGTTGAAAACACTGTGTTAACTCTTCACGTGTTGGCTTCTGATCACATCTCTCCATCTCTCCTGCCCCTGCTAGGGTCTGGACAAAGAGCCCCTTCCTCCCTGGAGTCTGTTCTAGCTCACTTCTTCCCCCCACATTGCCCTGTTGGTGCCCATGTCACTCCCCTGTGTAAACTCCTCCAATGACTCCAGGATTGCCTCTCATAACCACCACACCTGGGTTTTTCATACTGTTGGTCACACCAGTTAGGGGACTGTGAAATCAACCAACATTCTTCAGCAGAAAAGAACTTACCAGAATCTGTGCACAGAGTGTAGACGTAGTGCAGACATAGGTGATGTATGATTTCATGAAACTTCTGTTTCAGTGTTGTATGCATTCATTTGTGATATAATATCTCTTATCGTGGTCAAAACAGTTTGCAAAATCCTTTACTCCATAGTCCGGACTCCTAAATCCCATGCACAGACGGGAGGGACACTATAGATACCAGTTCAGATTTCTCTCTTCGCTAGTGGGGACCCAAGCCAAGTGGTTTCACCTGGTTTGGTTCTTGGACTCCTTGCCACACCCTAACCACTGTTATGGTTCTCCATTGATAGATGATGAGATGAGGCTCAGACTGGGGAAAGCCCATGCCTGAGGTCACAGGGCTGGGAAGAAAAGCCGACCTCCCTCCTCAAACTGCCCACTTGCTGGTCTGCCCTGCCCCTCCCAATCCCCCCCCCACCCCCATCTACATGGATGGCTCAGGTTTGCCACCCCATCCTCAGCACCCCAGGTGCAAGGTGCCTCATAGAGCCTCAGTGGGCAGTACCATTTGAACTCCCATTTTGCAGGCAGGAATACTGAGGCTAACAAGCATTTCCAGGAATCCACCATTCTATCACCCCTTCTCCCAACTTCTTTAAGTGGCAGGAGAGAGAAACGGCTAAGGCCATGTCTTTGACTGCCTGGGTTCAAATCTCATGTTTCAACACCGTGTTATCTCGGGCAACCTCTCTGGGCCTCAGTTTCCTTTCCTGCAAAATGGGAATAATAATAGTACTTACCCATAAGGCCATGTTTAGGACTTCAGTAAGTTGGAATACATGCAAAGTTCTTTGATGATTTCCCTTTGCTGGGAATCATCCCCACAGCCCTATGTAATTAGATTTCTCTGTGTCCCCCAACATTGTTGTGGAGACCCAGAGGCCCTTGCCTGTGTTCCTACAGCTAGAAAATGGGAGGCTGAGAATTTGGATGCAGATCAGGCTGGGCTTTTAGCCACTGAGTCACAGTAGCCCTTGGGGTATTAGTCTCGGCAGCAACAGCAGGAGCATTTTCCAAATTAAGGAACATGAAACTCAGAGAGGGTAAGGACATGCCCAAGTCACACAGCGTGTTGTCAGAGCCAAGATTTAAACCCAGGTTTGTGTGTTTCCGGGGGCAGGCTGACCTTTTCCCCATGACCCCCCCCAATAAAGCTCTGATGGAGCAGGAGGGAAAAAGCACATCGAGTGGTGCCTTTGCCTCAGCTTGGTCTGAGAGGGGGTCTTCTATCCTTGGCTCCAGCCTCTCCCTCCCCACCCTAAGGTGACTGCTCCCCTGAAGACCTGGGGGTAGAGGTACTGGGGTGGCATGGATGATGGCCTCTGATTGGGGCCCTGCAATCCCCCAGGATTTGGTGCTTGGAAAGCTGACGTTAGGTTGCTATGGCAATGGGTTTGGGGCGGTTGCCATAGCAGCAGAACTAGCCTGGGTTTAAAAATATCTAGGAGGAGGTTTGTGTTTGTGTGTGAGTGTGAGTGCGTGACCAACCGTGCTGTCGTGTGTGTCCAAATGGGAGGGCTTTGGGGGGGGGTGTTAGCTGGGGCTGCAGGCATGACTTGGGGGTGGGGGCTGACCAATACTGGGGATTTCCATGTGTGTTGAGTATGTCGCTGAGTGGCCTGTGAGGTCCCGTGTATTTTGTGCATTCGACTACGAGAGCCCTGGATCTGAATGTGTGTGATTATCCAGTTTGTGTAGAAGGCAGGATTGGGTCTGTTTGTCAGTCTACATATCGCATGTCACTAACATGTATGCCTTATGTAACATAGGCTGTTTATGTCTTAGGGCTTTGATCATGTACTTGTAACTTCTCAGGATATGTGTGGCCAAGTGTGGAGTTATTTTGGCTTTGAACATGTGCACCTGGGACATACTCGGGTATCAGATGTGTGTCTCTCTATTTTTGCATGAGAGCCTGTGATATATATGGTCCACATGACTGAATGTGCATTATGCATTATGGGTGACTCTGTGTGTTTGTGTGTGTGTGTGTGTGTGTGTGTGTGTGTGTGTGTGTGTGTGTACCTATCCCCATGACTCTTCTTCATATATCAGCCTATGCCTGTGTGAGACTGTTGAGTACACACCTGTGTGTCTGCAGGAGGGCTGGTGTGACTGCGCGTGTACTGGGGATGTGGAAATTCATGCCAAACTCTATGGATGTAGGGATATGTACCTGTGTGATGGGAGTATATGTGAATCGAAGGGTCTGAGGTGTGGAGCTCGGCCTGACCCGGGTGCCTCCCTGCATCTCTCTTGCCTCTTCCTTGTCTCCATAGCAACTAGCTCCTCAGTTCCCTCCAGGAAGACGGAGGGGGAGGATCCAGACTGCAGTGGACCACAACCCCCTCGAATCCCCCTTGGCTCTGGGGACAATGGGGGGGAGGGGACAGATGGGAGGCCACTTCATCCTCCCCAGGCCATCTGCTACCGTCCCCATCCTGGGGACCTGAGAACATGGCAAGGGAGGGGCAGAGTGGGATGGAGCAGAGGGAGGACCCCCCAGCTGCCACAATTACCCACACCTAAGCCCCCTCTGAGCCTAATCTTGTGTCTGGCTGACATAGGAAGAATCCTTGAAGACAAGGAATTCAGGGAGAACACTGAATATTAGCAATGATCCACTCCAAAGAAGGGCCCCCTACTTCAGGTTCTGAAATTAAGCTTGTCCTGAGTTCAAATCCCAGTTTCCTCTCTGCGGTCTACCTGTGTGCCCTTGGATGAGCCACACTCCATTTTCCTGAGCGTCCACTTTGTTGTCTGAGCATCAGGTTTTCTTAATGACATGAATAGTAATACTTTGTCTATCTACAAGGGCCAAGACTGTTTTGTTCCCTCTTGTACTCCAGTGTTTGGGACAGTGTCTGACACTTAGTAGGGGGTTTGTAAGAGATGTTGATTGACCTGGGCACCACCTGGATGTTAAGCTCAGCTCTACACGGCTAACACAGGTATTCATTAAATTCAATTCCCCGAGCCCTTGCAGTAATCCTGTGTTGATTCTTCAAGAGATGAATGAAAGATTCGAGAGGGAACTTCCCAGCTGTCAGAGGTGGGAAACATGTGAAGTGAGATTTCTTATGGGGACCAAGTGACGTCACTGAGGCTCAGTTTCCTTCTCTGTAAAAGGGGATAGTAAGAGTACCAGACAGAGTCGATTGCTCTTGGAATTAAACGTGGTAAGGTTTGTGAAGCGCTTACTTGGAACCAGAGTTAGCACACAGTAAGTGCTCAATAAACGTACATTACAGGTGAGGGCTGAGGAAGGTGTAAATGAGCCCAGGGTCCTTCCTGTAGCCTGGGGGAGCCTGGTCCCTATCCCAGCTGCGGGAAGGGGCGTGGTCAATTCAGGGGGCGTGGCCCGGGCTTCAAGGGAAGACCAATGGGGGCGCCGAAGGGCGCGGCCCTGCCCGGCATGGGCGTGGCCTTGATCGGGTGGGAGGGGCCAGGCCGCTGTGGGAGCCTCCGGGAAGAAGATGCTCAGGCCAGCAGCCACCGCCAGCCCTGCAGCCGCTGCCGCCCGCACCCGCCGCCCCCCGGGTCCCCACTAGCGGCTGCCTCCGCCTCCCACCTCCGGTCCCGCTCCTCCGGCCCCCCGCCCCGAGCAGGGTCTGGGGGGCTCGGCCCTCCACCCGGGGGAGCAAAGAAGGGAGTCCGGACCCCCCCCC